TTCATCCTCTATTCATTAAAAATCAAATTACTTGTGATGATGTAGCTGGCACAGAACTCTGCCTTTTGCATGTGAATGAGCCAACTGGACCAGTTTATAACCAATGTTATACAATCAGATCAGATTAACTACACTGCACTTGTCTGAACAAGATGTCAAGCACGACAGGAAAAATAAAATATACACATACACATACAACACATAAATAGGTTATTCCAGGGTCTGTTCATCATTCAGGTACAACAAAGTCTGGAGTAGTGTGCTGTGTCACTGCTATGCAATGCCTCGGAGCAAAGAATAAAACAAATCACCTGGAGTTGTCCACAATGTACTGCACTATGTCGTCCAGAACTTTCTCAAAAAGAGCTGTACGGACCCAGATGTGTTTGATGGCCTGAGCAGAGAGGGGCTGAGGGGGACGGCTGGTGGTGGACGAGCCCTGTCTCCTCAGAGGCTCATGTGCCACGTTCTGAGTTCTCCTGCGGAGAAAAAAAGCACATGACATTTTGAATCTGATATATCAATGTTTAAGAATTTTGATGCATGAGGCAAAGGTCCATGGCTCAAATCAAACCGAAGACACTATGGATGTGTGACATGCACTGTAACAGTTAGGGCATATCAAGTTAAACAATAACAAACTTTATTCTTTTTGCTGATATGTTTTTGGGGTTATTTTAAAGTATACTTGAAAGAAAATGAAAATATATGTTGCAATCTTATGGTCATTGTCATAAATCCCTGTATTTTGAATATAACGCAATCAAAAATTTTCTTAGAAAATCCTTTGTTTTTCAAAACCAAGATATGCATGCATAAAGGGAGACATACGTTGTTAAAACATGAATATAATTGGAATTGTTGTATACCCTACATGGTTCCTGTTTACCTTTCTGCCCTGTAGTTGCAGCCAGTGGTGTAGCACAGGGTATATGTAAGTACATGGCGTATAATCATTATTTTTCAGACCCACTTCTAAATCGCAGCTGATGCTGCAGGCCAAATTTCTTCCTATAGAATATACAGTATAAATATATATAATATAATCTGCCCTTTATAGTTAATCGAAATAAAAATGCACAACATAAAACAAACTACCCAAACAAAAATTGTGATTCAGCAGAAACAACGTGCTGCTAGAAAGATGAAAGTAAATAAATGAAAAGCATTTAACAGCATTGTTACCTGCAGCACTGTCAGACAGAGTCAAAGGGCCAGTGTGTTTTCTTCCCTTCTGCCTGTCTCTCTCTCCCTCCCCTAGCTGTCTCTACCTCCTCTGTCTCTCTTTCAGGTGCTGCTGTTGCTGCTGCTGCTGATGGCTGCCGCATTGGTTCAGCCTATCAAAACCCAAGGCTCCAGAATAAAGGGAGCAAGCCCTCAGAGTTTAGGATCTTTTTGACTTGGTCTCAGATCTGCTGCTAGATTTGCTGTTTTGCTGTTTGCTATTGCAACTATTTGTAAGGTTTGGGGTGGGAGATTTGTTTGGTCAATAGGTAAGTCGGGGTACCCTATACACCTTTGCACACACAGAGTCAGTTGTAGAAACACACTTTTGGTTGTTTTATTTTAGGAATAGACAGTAGATCAGACATTTTGCTATATAAATGTCTTTGACACCAACCACCTTGTCCTCACCTCCCCCACTTTTGTAAAACCTTCCCTTAGTTTGACTCCATCAATTATTTTGGTTGTCCTGTTTGTCTCTGTTTTATAAGAAAAAGGGACTTAACAAGCATCATTTCATCCAGGGCTGAGTTGCAACTGTGGCAGCAATCAGACACAACCACTCACACACCCATTTTATTTGTGTGTGTGTGCGTGTGTATGTATGAAATGCCAGTACTCCAGAGGATGGAAGAGCGCCAGGATGATGTCAGATATAAGACAGAATGTTGAAGAGACAGGTTTTTCGTTTTCTAAATTCCTTTGTTTTGCGGTCTGAAACGTGAACTCCTGTTTACTTAATGTAGAACTTTTATTCATGTTTTAACTTGAGGCATATTTTGGTTTAAAACCAGTACTGTATTGTACTGTTACTAACTAAACTTCTTCCCTGGAGTTCCTGTGCTCTCTCGTCCAGCAGGTTCTCATGTATGGCTGCTCCCTGTATTGGATCGTGGTTCCCACTACTGCCATGGCCCTGCCTGACATCCACTCTTGTTATTACTATTAGTCATAATTCCATGACATTAATATTAACMTGTTTATTATTGTAGCATTGTTACATATTACCACCACTGCTACTGTAATCATTGTTTTTCATTGTAATTGTACAATATGTTTCTGTTGCGTTGTACTGTACACGTGACATCCATTGCACGTCTGTCCGTCCTGGGAGAGGGATCCCTCCTCTGTGGCTCTCCAAGATTTCTTCCACCTTCTTTTCCCTGTTAAAAGGATTTTTTTGTGGGCAAGTTTTTCCTCTCTCAAACCGAGGGTCTAAGGACAGAGGGTGTCACTACCTGTACAGATTGTAAAGCCCTCTGAAGCAAAATGTGTTTTGTGAATTCGGGCTATACAAATACAATTTGATTTGATTTGATTTGATTTGTATGGCCAGGACCAGCGCATGCACTTCTTTACCGCCCCTGTTTTTGCAACGTACCATACCAGCAACAACATACAAACAACAATATGCCATACAAATAAAGTGCACTATATCACTAGTGCAATCTAGGGTTTAGTTTTTCCTTGTTGAGGGTTAAGAACAGAGGATTTCATACCTTGTTAAAGCCAGATGAGACAAATTGTGATTATGGGCTATACAAATAAAATTTGATTGATTGATTGATCGATATTACCATCTTTCCTTGAGCCATGGGGTGTAATGCATTCAGACTAGAGAATTGTATTGCTAATGTAGCAATTTATTTGACCTCAAACAGAATCTTTTTCATCTCTTACTATAAACATATATTTAATTAAAGGTCCACCTACCCACTTGAAGTCTTAAACAAGCGACTGAGCAGATGTTGAGGGTGAATTGTGTTTTCAACTGTTTCCAAAGTCATGAATGAATCATCAATCTCAGCTCAAGACAATAAGAAACAAAGCGTACTAGTGAGAGAGGTTAATTGTTCAAGTCAGTAACAAGTGGTCGGATGCTATTATTGCTCAACAGCCAAAATGTTTCAGTGAAAAAAAAAGTTAACTGTTTCTGTCTCCCCTAGGTTGAAAATGGTAATATCTTGTGCTTCTCTGGTCGTACACTCCTTTGTTTTACACCTATGAGTCACAAACGCACACACACAAACACACACAAACACACACAC